GGCTATCAAAAGATATAGCATCCTGGGTCTTAAAGGTTTGAAGATAAATAAGCGGTCATCTAGCTGAGAAGCAACAAAGCCCGCATGGAAGAAGCCCACCAGCCTGTGTGATCATGAGGTGTCGATGGGATCAGGTATCAGGCATCTAAGACCCAGAATAAAACCATACCCAAGCTGAATTGGTGGGCGGAGGAGGGGGTTAGGCATGGAGTAGAGACCCAATGCCAATCTGTAGACAATTGGACATCCCCTCAGAGTGGTCACAGGGAAGAGATGAGCCAGTCAGGGTGCAGGATAGCACCGATGAAACACACAACTTTCCTCTAGTTCTTTGGTGCTTCCTTCACCCCACTATCATGACCTCAATTCTAATTTACAAACTGGATTAGACCAGAGCATGCACACTGCTACAGATAAGAGCCGGCAACACAGGGAATCCAGGATAGATAAACCCCCTCCGGGTCAACAAGGAGAGTAGAGATACCAGGAGGATTAGGGGAGGGTTGGGGGAGAAAGGGGAACTCGATTACAAGGATCAATCTGGAACCCCCTCCCAGGGAGACGAATAACAGAAAAGTGGGTGAGGGGCGACGGAGGACAATGTAAGATATGGAAAAAATAATCTATAATTTATCAAGAGTTCATGAGGGAGCGTGGGCAGGGGAGGGAGGGGGAAGAAATGCGGAGCTGATATCAGGGGCTCAAGTATGAAGAGAATGCCTTGAAAATGATGATGGCGGCATATGTGCAAATGTGCTGGATGCACGGGAGGAATGTATGGATTGTGATAGATGTGAGAGCCCCCAATAAATGTATTTTTTTAAAGGGGTGGAGTCTAGTCTGTCAATCAGGTCACAGCCAATCCCTCCTCATGGGCGTGGCCTTGTATGAGGATTCTGGGCACTCTCTGCTTCACATTCCTAATGACAAGCCACATAGAGCCATGCTAATGGCATCCAGAGCCCTGGAGATGCTTCCACCACCTCTGGATTCAGAAGATTTTCCACCCACAGGTCTGTGGTCTTCCTGCATTCAGCATTATTGCATGTGCTGCGTGAATCTGAAGAATTTATGGACTAATATCAGACATGGGCTAATATCTGACTTAGGGACTTGATCTGGACTCAGTTGGGATGTTTTAATATACAATAAAGCTCTCTTACACAGGTATGTCTCTGAATTTGTTTCTCTAGTCCAGTGGTTCTCAACCTTCCTAATGCCACGACCCTTTAATACAGTTCCTCATGTTGTGGTGACCCCCAACCATGAAATTATTTTCATTGCTACTTAATAACTGTAATTTTGCTACTGTTATGAATCGTAATGTAAATATCTGATACGCAGGATATATTTTCATTGTTACAAATTGAACATAATTAAAATATAGTGATCGATCACAAAAACAATATGTAATTATATATTGTGAAATTTTTATTTCTAATTACAAATAAATGAAATTTCGTCTTGAAGCGTGATGTAGCATGGGTGACAGTCTTCATTCTGGGTACTTGTATGTGTGGGCGGACCCACCTGGAGACGGACAGAGGAACGGTGTGTTGGTTCCTAAGACCATGAGAAATATGTGTTTTCCAATGGTCTTAGGAGACCCCTGTGAAAGGGTCGTTCGAACCCACAGGTTGGGAACCGCTGCTTTAACCTGGCCAAACACAGTTCCCAAGATGAGAGCAGGGCCAGGATAGTCCATGTAAGGGAGTTGCAACTTGTAGTTTGCTTCTAAGTCTTCCTAGCAGTTTATGCTTGTTTATTTTAAACAGGTTTTTGAAGGAGAGGATTAATTTGACAAACCTTCAAAAGCGTTTCTGGGATTTTGGTGGACATTTCTCTTCACATATATTTTTCACCTCGTTCTGCTTCTGGATCCATGGATTTGTTAATGTTTGACTCAAATGGCACAGAAATGTCCAAAGCAAATCAATGGAAAGTGTTTCAAATACTGGTTCATGTATTTATGACTTATACACACCTTATACCTTTTTTTATAATTTTGAAGTTGTTTCTAAAGAGTAATTTGGCTAGATTCTGTGGTAGTTATATAACCTGATGCCAATTTGAGACTATTAAGAGTGAAGGGGTGGAGTTCAGCCTGTCAATCAGGCCACTGCTTGATAACCTCATTTGGGGCACTGTGGAGATAAATAGCTTTCTGGAGGCAGGACACACAGACTCTCTGCTTGATATCCCTGACGACAAGACACATGGAGGTATGCTAGCGCTCTGGAGCTGGAGGAGCCACAAAGAGACCCACGCCAGCGCTGAGTTGCTTACTTCGCCATTGGATCCACATGACTTTCCACCCACTGGCCTGTGATCTTCCTGCAAGCGGCATCATTGCATGTGTTGCGTGAATCTGAAGAGGAATTTATAGATTGGTATCAGACATATGGACTAATATTGGACTTATGAACTTGATCTGGACTGGGCCAGGATATTTTCTATTGTTTATTATGTCTGCTTTTTTTTTTTTATGAATGGCTGGTGTTTGGGTTGGATGTTACTGAGGGGCGACCATGACTTGCTCAAGGTCGACCAGTTAAAGTGTCAGAGAATCTCACAAATGCTGACAGCCTGAGTCCTTTCAGCTATAACACTTCCATTGGAAAAAGTTAAGATATAAAAATTTCTGCCCTTCCTTTCTTCTTTCTTCCCTTTGTGTTTTGTTTTTAACACACATCTTTCATTTCCATGTGCCAGGAACTATTCTTAGCACTTTACAAGCATTCATGTATTCTATTCGCCTATCAACTCTGTAAAGGAGGAACTACTTTAACCACATGAACAGAAAAGTAAGCTGAGACACAGAGAGGTTTAGTAACTGCCCTAGGTCAAACAGCTATCAATGGCATTTTAACACTGGAATATAAAATAAACCAAACCAAACTCACTGCCATTGAGTCAGTGCTGACTCATAGTGACCCCCCTGTGGATTTCCAAGACAGTAACTGTTTCAGGGAGTAGAAAGCCAAGTCTTTCTCCTAAGGTGCTGCTGGTGGTTTTGAACTGCTGATCCTGAGGATAGCAGTCCAATGCATAAGCACTACACCTCCAGGGCTCCAGTAAAATAAACAGATGAATGATAATGTTTAGGATATTGCTTCCTTTAAATGGGAGCCTCCACATTTCTCAATATGGTTCCTTTCACTGACGTGTGTGGAAGTGTTAAAAAACCAAACGAAAACAAAAACAAAAACCCCACCAAACTACCGGCCATCGAGTCGCTGGCGACCCTGTAAGACTGGGTGGAACTGCCCCAGTGAGTGTCTGGGACTGTCACCCTTCACGGGAGTAGAAGCCCAGCCTTTCTCCCGGAGTGTCCAAGGCGGACGATGTGCAGGAGTTAAAGGGCCCTAGCGGGTACCCTTCGGAAGCCCGGAGGCGGCGTCTGGAGGGAAGTGCGTGCTGTGTCCAGGAAACGGACCAGTGAACGAACAGAAGCCGAGCCGGAGAGCAAGGCATGCATGCAGCTGGGAAAATGAGGCCGACTGAGCAGTTCTAAATGCTGAAGGTGCGGATGGGGTCTGTGCTCCGCAGCACCCAAGGTCCCGAGCACCGGCTAGCCGGAGGCTTTGGGACGCGGACTGGAAGATAGGGCTCGAGGAAGGGGAAGGGCGGGCCGACGCGGGTGCGGCTGTTCGGAGACGGGCCTGGAGGGGGTGGTG